CTGTATTAAGAATGGTTGAGTCTGCTTACCATATACAACAGTTTTTTAAAGGCCTACCATCAGAGATTATACATTATATATCCTTTTCTTTAACTTCATTCTTATGCTTCTCTTTAAAGGCCTCCATTACTCTTTGCTTTGATCTATCAATTTTTTTATGAACTAGAACAAGACTTGTAGCAGGAATGTTATCTTTCAAAAACATGCATTCTTGGCTGCTTTTAATTTTGAAGCGCCTATCGATGCAGCTGCTCTCTTACTTGTACCAAATCTTAATGCTGAAAAAGCAATACCAATTGCATTTAATGTAATTAGCTTTAAGTTTGTTTGTTTTTTTAGTGAATATTGTCTTTATAATCATTGTCAAAATGGTCTCCATATTATGTTGAGATGATTCATCAGAATACTGTTGATTTCTAATCTATGAATTTTTATACTTCTATATTATGAATTCTCAGTTCTAAATACCTTTGCTTTATTCTGCTTTTTTTGATATTTTTTTTGTCTCAATTTTCTCTTTTATCAGCTGAACCTATTTGCATAGCACTTTTGGAACCATTTTTATTCCTTTGTGACTTTAAAAATTTAAGTTTAAAAACAGTAATTTTGTTTTCCAGAGAACATTTCCAATCAATATAAAGATTCTGGTTGCAGCAGTTTGCTTCTTCACATGATTTTATTTAATGTTTACACCTTCCATCAAACAGTTTATCTCTTTATGGTAAGAAATTTTTTAGAAGTTCCCCTAGCTAATGCTGTATTATATGCTCTCTTCCATTCATTAATGATTTTCTTTTTTCTCTTTTATCAGAGATAACAGGTATAAGTAAATTAACTTTTTTCTATGAAAGTTGTGAATGACTCAGCCGAAAGAGGGGTGAAACTTGTTTCAGGTTGCATAAAAATCTTGACAAAAGATATTTTACTAAGGACCACAATTTGTGTCATTCTCTTCAATTCTTTTAAGAAAGAGACCGTTTCTTGAAACATCTTTTAAAGTTGATAGTTCTTATAAAGTTATTCTTGTTCCAATAAGCTTTGTTAACTTACATCTAACTTTATCACATGTTTTGTGAACCATTATTTGCAACTTTACACTTATTTCTATAACATGTGTAGATGTTCCAATATATATATAACATGTGTAGATGTTCCAATATATATATAACATGTGTAGATGTTCCAATATATATATAACATGTGTAGATGTTCCAATATATATATAACATGTGTAGATGTTCCAATATATATATAACATGTGTAGATGTTCCAATATATATATAACATGTGTAGATGTTCCAATATATATATAACATGTGTAGATGTTCCAATATATATATAACATGTGTAGATGTTCCAATATATATATAACATGTGTAGATGTTCCAATATATATATAACATGTGTAGATGTTCAAATATATATATAACATGTGTAGATGTTCCAATATATATATAACATGTGTAGATGTTCCAATATATATATAACATGTGTAGATGTTCCAATATATATATAACATGTGTAGATGTTCCAATATATATATAACATGTGTAGATGTTCCAATATATATATAACATGTGTAGATGTTCAAATATATATATAACATGTGTAGATGTTCCAATATATATATAACATGTGTAGATGTTCCAATATATATATATAACATGTGTAGATGTTCAAATATATATATAACATGTGTAGATGTTCCAATATATATATAACATGTGTAGATGTTCCAATATATATATAACATGTGTAGATGTTCAAATATATATATAACATGTGTAGATGTTCCAATATATATATATAACATGTGTAGATGTTCCAATATATATATAACATGTGTAGATGTTCCAATATATATATAACATATATAATATATATATATATATATATATATATATATATATATATATATATATATATATATATATATATATATATATATATATATATATATATATATATATATATATATATATATATAATAAATATATATATATATATATATAATAAATATATATATATATATATATATATATATATATATATATATATATATATATATAATAAATATATATATATATAATAAATATATATATATAATAAATATATATATATATATATATAATATATATATATATATATATATATATATATATATATATATATATATATATATATATATATATGTATATATATATATATAATAAATATATATATATATAATAAATATATATATATAATAAATATATATATATATATATAATAAATATATATATATATATATATACACATGTTAACTAAATCATTATATATTTAATACATTATATATTGTATCTTTACAATATGGTTGGAATGTATTGTTATTTAGATTTAATGTAATATCAAGGTAGTTAACATTTTTTTGATGGTGCTGAAGTTTGCGAGTTAATAGGTATTTTCATACAGTATCAAATTTCACAGCATGACAAAGAAGATTTCAGAGGCAACCATCATGCCGTATTTAAGAATATCATGGCAACCATCTTGCCGTATTTAAGAACAAAAACAGTCAGCAAATGAATAAAATCAAAAAGCATATAGCACATATTTTTAAGAGAAATGATCTTTAAATCACCATTCAATCTAATAAGCTAGCTCAATTAACTATCAATCTAATAACTACCTCAATTTTCATTAAATCTAAATTACAATAGGTTCCAAACGTATTATAAATCTGATAACCAATTAAGGTACATCCTCTCTAATTCTAACCACCTCCCAAGCATAATAAAAAAAAGCAGGTAAGTTTCAGTGATCATGAACATAATAAGAAATTATATTTTGGCATTAGTCATACACCATTTAAATTAAGATATGCAAACCATCTCAAATCATTTGCATTAGTTAAAAATAACACAGAACTCTCAAAGGAAATATGGAGCTTAAAAGACCAAAACATAAAGCCTATTATAAAATGAAAAATTATCAAACGTTGCAAACCTTTTAATCTAACAATAAAAATATGCCATCTTTGTCTCCAAAAAAAATGTAGTTTTACCTCATAATGTTAAAAACCTACTGAAAAAAAAACAAAATTGTATCTAAGTGTATATATATATATATATATATATATATATATATATATATATATATATATATATATATATATATATATATATATATATATATATATATATATATATATATATATATATATATATATATATATATATATATATATATATATATATATATGTATATATATATATATATATATATATATATATATATATATATATATATATATATATATATATATATATATATATATA